CACACCCAACCGCACTCACCCTCAACCTCACACTCAATCCCTTATATGGTTGAATACCTCTTCATTCATTAATTTGATGTTTCTCTTCCTTCTCTCTACTTTCTCTCTCTAAAATCAACCAAGAACACTTGGAAGGCTTCATAATTGTGATCTACTCCATATTCAAGCTAAGTATAGTGGTAAACACTTGAATCCCAAGCTTCAAACTCATCATGTTCATCATCCCTTGAAGGTGTACGGTCGCACACCTTCACATGGGGGCAGCATACATTCAAATCTCCCAAGTGTGAAGAGCAAACACTTCAAAATCATCATATGGACTCAAATGAGGAGTGTACGGCCGCACACACCCTCTGTACGGCCGCACACTCTTGTGTGCTGCCTCACACACACACTCTTGGCTGCACTCCCCAACCGTACACTCATTTGCAAGACCATACACCCACTCTAATGCCCATATTTGGCCCTAAACTTGCATAAATCATTAAGTATGGATCATAGGACACTTATTCTTAGTAATTCCAAGCCCTAAGGATGTTTTCCCATCATGTTTAGTCATGAAACACCTTAGTTCTAACTCATTTATCTGTCGTCACATGAATAATAGGGGCCATAGGCGTTCAGGGCATCCGTTGACACTCGAACCCTACATTAAGCGGTGAGTTCATACCCCTACTCTTTTCAATGTTTTTCACTGTTTTCAGGGGGGAAATACAAGCAAAGTACAAGGAATACTTGTACTTTAAACTTGTTTTTACATGTGTTGCGTTCCATAATTCATATGCTTTTAACACGGATAATCATAACAGATAATAGTTTGAACTCGCAGAACACACTATCGTATTATTTGTGAAAAACATAATAAAATGTTGTATTTTATATTTTCACAAATGGTTTTCCATATTATATCATTTAAAAGCATAACCTTTGAACTTGAAACATGAAACCTAGTACATTGTTTTGTCCTCGGTAACACTCCACAAAGATACGTGAGTGGAGGACCGCCCCCCTCCCCCCGTAATTAGAATCTCCTGGAGGGAGAACGTGACTTGAGTGTATAGATCTATACGGGGCTGACTACCCCACACCTGGCTGCTAGCTACAGCCGAACCGAAAGGTTCAAGGGTGACGAAAGTCATAAGGTGATGCAGACTACTTATTGCCACATCTAGTCTATCGTATGGTTATGGAACTCGCAATTTGGATAACAGAGATTTACTAAATGGTAATAAAGAACAAGTAACTATGTTTACTTTACATACATTAGTTTTATATACGTGTTAAAACTAATACCACTCACAAGAACAACCAAGTTTTCAGTATACATCTTTCACATTAGTAACCAACATTTAGGAAAATATGGTATTTTCTTGATGTGTAACTTTTTCGGAAAACAGAAACAAAAAGGAACTTGTACATTTTCAGAAAACAAAACCGCTTATGAACTCACCAACGTTATGCTGATTTTCAAACTGCTTGTATTCTCAGGTCCGCATTAGACAGGTACTTGATGATTCTTTTTTGGCAAAGACGAAGTGCATTGAAGACTCGTCTTACTTTTGTTCGTATATACTATGTATCACTCCTGTACAAAGTTACTTTCAAAAAAAAGTAAACAATTAAATATGTAATGTAATGGTTGTTTACTTTACTTACTATGTGCATTGGATTTGATACTCAACGTGGAGTCATCCCCGGAAATGTTTCCGCCTTCGGTTTTCGGGGTGTGACAGAGAACCCTTTTTTCCTTTTAGCAGTGGCCAATGGCCAATCATAAATATGTCCAAAATGTGGAATTTCAACTTTGGTTGAAATGATTCTTTTTTGGCAAAGACGGAGTGCGTTGAAGACTCGTCTTACTTTTGTTCGTATATACTATGTATCACTCCTGTACAACGTTACTTTCAAACAAATGTAAACAATTAAATACGTAATGTAATGGTTGTTTACTTTACTTACTATGTGCATTGGATTTGATACTCAACGTGGAGTCAACCCCGGAAATGTTTCCGCCTTCGGTTTTCGGGGTGTGATAGAGAACCTGGCCTTTTTTCCTTTTAGCAGTGGCCAATGGCCAATCATAAATATGTCCAAAATGTGGAATTTCAATTTTGGTTGAAATATAACGTCAATAATATACGAAACATGGGCCATGATAAAAATTAATGATTGGGCCCATTACCTTTTTTGCAACATATAAGTTCCACAAACAATAACAAGAAGAAACCCTAATCAATCTCATTTTGTTTTATGCAGCCGGGAAAATTAGAAGAAAAATCATTTAGATCGGGAAAGAGAATTCCAGAAAGCAGTAACGTAATCGATTTTCACAACCATCAATGTCAAATTTGGTAAGTTGTATTACATGTCTAGTTTGAAGTTTGTAACGATTCAAAAATGAAAGATATATAGATGTTTGTTTCTTCTAATTTCTCAATCGCTACAACATTGACTACGACTAATGATTTTAATTTGAATTGAAGTGTGAAAGGAAACAATATCAAGAAATAAAACTTGTAATGAAATGAATTATTCCATAACAAAAATGTGAAACATAGATTAAAAGGGGTTATAGAAAAAATTATTCCATTATAAGGGGAAATTATGAATTATGGTTTAGGCGATATAGGAATTTTTACAAACACTATTATTTTGTTAATACTATTGGAGTATCATTTTGATGATGAATCAAGCATACGAAGTATTAAGTTATGCACAACCTGATTTTACCATACAAATAAATATAATTGATAACTAACATGATATTTTGAGACCTTTATTGTTTTTCAATATATAAGAACATCTGGGCTTTTTAATATAATCCCTTTGATATAACTAAAATATCTTATATAGTTACAATCAGTGTATTAGCAATTCGTTTGATGATTACCCTGATACATTGATGTAAGAAAGATTTATCTTATTGGAACATTTATTTATTTTCAAGACCTATAACATCTTTCCTTTTACTATAGAACCATCTCACAACTCTCATAATACATGAATTCTATCTTCCTAAGAAGAATAAACATATGTCATAAAGCATTATGAAGAATTGAACCTAGTAAGGAACTTTTACTTAAACACACACTTGAATTCATTGATTACTACCGCACTCAAGGTTATAATTCCATCCCACTCAAAAGTTTCCTCCTTCTTCCTCGATTAGCTTTACAATAAAAATGGTAAATAATTTCCTTTTGTATGAATCCATCACAATCCAAGGATTCTAGTTTCCAAATGGTGTTTTTTGTGTACCACTTCCTTATTAGAAAGTATAATTTCCCACTCCATTTTTATAGTTATAATTCTTATTATATTTCAAATAATTCCTTTCCATAGGCTTTGGAAAATATATGTTGTTAGATCCCTTGATACTCAAAGTTCACCATTTGTCAAAGGTTGCAAACCATACATTAAGTAAGTTTAGATAGTCCTGCTAGAAGAAGTTTAAATCTCTATCTTATGACTTATGACTTATTTAACCATTCGTGATTTATCATCATATTCTTTGTTATTTAAGTTTGCTCCTAAAAATATTCTATGTATTTCCAAGATGGAATTTTTTCATGAAATCATAAATTTAGAGTAGGTTTTAGTAGTTTGATACTTATTATGGTTATAGTAGTGGTTATTCATCTAGACAAAATTTCAAGCTTGAATTTTTTGCATCACTATATAGTGTTGGTAGCCCATCTACTTTATCGCTACCCTCAGATCATGATATAGTGTCAACTGGACGTCTTCCCGTAGGAGATACCCATGAATAACCAGGGACTTACTCACCTTGATATTTCATGGATGGAAAATTCCTAACTCCTTGTATTTATTCACTTTCAATAGTTGAGAAACTTGTGTTTTACCATCCATGACTTTCTATTGTCGACATATACCGCTTTAACAGCGTCAAACAAGTCTGAGTTAAATAAATCCACATATCAAATTAATATTTATTATATTTTAATTTAATTTTAGTGTTCTTTACTTCAATAGACAACAACAACAAAAAAACTATCATACAAGTTCTATTTTTACTATCACAAAAAGTAGATATCAAATAATCTAGTTTGGCCAACACAAATCTCGATATAATTATGGAATACAAAAAATACTTTTTATGTCTTATTTGATAACCAAAAATCTATTAATATAATCCACTTAATAAATTTCATCATTAAGTATTCTTTCTTTATGATTGACAAACCATTTTCTTTTTCCCTAATTCCAAGGATAGAGAACAAAGAGTGTTTACTATTTTGATCTTGGATAAAGGTGATTGATAATTGTAATTTGATGTTGGTATAATTTATCCTAATCTTTAATCTTTCCCAGAAAGTCCCTCTCGAACGTTTAAAATAGAACCAAGCAAAGAATGTTGTAAAATAGTAACTACCCACCTAATTAAAGCTAAGCCATTTACCACATGTTAGAGTTGCATTGACCGAGAACTTTTCTTCTTGTTTTATATGTGGCCCATTGAGGTTGGCCAATTGAAAATCTTCAAAAATACGATACGATCGGGCCACATATATTCTCCTTTTAAATGGTGCTCGGAGTCACATGTAATACATTCTTTTATCATTTTTGACATAACTTTCATTACCACGACTTCATTAAAGTAGACAAGTTCCAAACATCTATAGTTTATAACACATGGTCATGATATGTCGTTTTGTAAAAAAAGCATACATCATTCCTTGTGTATGTTCCTCTAGACTATTGGTTTGTCATGGCCCGATTATTCTCAAGGTGATTAACCTTAGGACGAAACTCAAGAGGGAAACAAGTTAAAATCCTTATATCGTTTGTACTTTCTTGGCATATCCTTGGACATGCATAGCCCCATGTAGATCTCTTCGTATTCATATTAGAGAAAGGAAAGGTTGGGCCTGGAGTTATGCATTTCAATCTGGTGAAAAAAAAACTTGTCCCCGGACGTGTGACAGGTTGTAGGTTGATTGGGCTGCAAATGTTTCATTCCTGGGATTGTATCCAAAGCAATGCCCACGACCCCAACACCGGTATCGGTTTGGACAATATCGATAGAAAATGATTGCCCAGAAGATAACAGGCTGCTTCTCTCAAGAGTCAAGACTACAAGTGATACAAGATTTCTGGTCAATTACATTGGTCCCCTTAAGTCTTAAGAGAAGTATTAGCCTCGGTGTTCCGTCATTGTTTGTCCCTAGGCATTGACAAGACAACCCAAACATATGTTCTGCCATCAGATCACACACCTGACTGTATGCTGAAACGCCGCCATTTGATTTTATTTCTACATTCCATCTATGCAGCTCTCCATCGTCTTGTCGATTACAGAACGTTTTACCTTCTTTCATTGATTATTTGGATCGGTCAGATCGTGGAAGGATCTCCAACTTCTATTTTTCCGTTGATGTTGCTATTTTGATATTCTTATTGGTGTCGGCTCTCCGTATGTTTACACTAAGCACCAAAGAAGAGGAACAAATAAATAGCAATCATAAGTTGGAGATTCTTCTGGAAGATCAAACTCACCCGATAATGAAGGAAAGAAGGTAAATTGTCATTGATATAATTCTGAGACAGTACATATTATCAAGAATACAATGATCACTTGATCCTTGAGTCTAATTATTATATAATCATCAGTCATTTTTGGCATTCAGATTGGTAAAGTCTAGACCTGTAGACCTAATCTAAAATTCTTTTTTGTTGGCTTAAATATGCATATATATGGCAGCTTCAGTCATCCAAGCACGCTGTAACCAGCAACAAGGGGAAGGAGAAAATGATCGAGTTACCAGCTAAAGGGACCGATATGTGGGAGTTACCATTGAGATACACCAATAAAGGGATTACTATAGGCTCCCCACCAAGACCCCCACCTAAAGTCCATGAAAATCCCATGATTTCCAAATCTAAAGATCAATCATCTACGGATATGCGGACAGGAATCAAAAAACGAAACAGGAGAAATAAGCAACAAACTATTGCTGAACTTGAACCTTCTTGTTGGAACAGGATTTGTCCACAAGATGTGGTTGACACTGGGATACATCTGAATCCAGCTAAAAAGAAGCATTCTGTTTGGTTCAGTTTAACTCCTTCCTGTGATCAGTGAGCAATAAAGATTCCTTTTAAATTTAATCATATAGCTAATAGTATCTTCACTATCTTATCTTTTTTATTTTATTATCTTTGATTCCATAGGAATAGAAAGAACACTCTGCAACTCCTAGTGGAACCATACGTACAGATAATGTAAGTACATTGGCCTTTCCGGTATAATGTTGTTTAATGTTCATATAATTCGCCAGTTCATTATGAAATAAATTATTGACATTCAGTTTTCTGGTCTTTGTAACTTGCATGTAATGATTAACAACAAATTATTCTAGCATGGAGGAGAACTGTAATCCAGATGTGTCTATTCTCATGAAGTATATCGTGTTGCAACTTAAGCATGTTTGCCAACAGGAGGTATGTTCTAATTTTTCTTATTCAATTAATTGTATATAACTTTGGTTCCATTCATCAAAGAAGTATCGTTCTTTTCTCATGATCTCCACTGAGTGGATTTTAGTTATAGGTTTTTTAGTAAATGTAAACTCCTTCTGAAGTGCTGAGGGGACAAAGTGCATTGAAATATGCAACTTTTGATGCGTCATGCACAAATTGCTATAATGGACAATATTTCATAGGCAGAAGGATATTGTCCACATGTAAATCTAATAACTAAAAAACATGAAACTGTTAGAGAGTATGTTTTGTGTTTCTTATGCGTTCTTGCATAAATATTGAACCATGCAACTCTTAAGTACATACAATAAGTTGAGTTTTGTATGCCTAAAAAACTTCAGTTTTCATTAGAGTTCACTTGTCCGTTAATTGTTCTTTTTCCATGGAGATTCAGCAATATAGACTTCACTAATATAACAAGGACGTCATAGTCTCATAGATATGTATTTTGTTCTTCTTTTTCATGTTTTTGTTTGACAAAAATATTTTCTTTAATGGATTATATTTTAAATAATCTGAACAGGTTGGTATCTTCTTGAACGAGAAACTTCTTGCCCCGGAAATGAAGCTACTTGATGTGGTGAAGCAGTGGATGGCTATTGTTGATTCAGAGAGGAAAATAACCAAGATAGGAAGTTCTGCCGAGAACTTCTGTGTGAAGCTGACTTATGCTCGAAGAGAATAGACATAATTATGCATTTATAATAAAATCCGACAAATGTTTATTCCTTAATTATGCAATTTAACCGATTGACTTTTACAATTTCTTGGTTAATGCTGATGTAATGAATTAATTAGCTTGTTCCGTAGTGATTATTAGACTTTTAAAACTAATAATGGTTACATTGTTTTTGAGTAATCAACTAGCAATGATCTTTGAAAATAACTTACACCATAGTTAGGGCTCATTGGCAAGATCTAAATTTTTAAGATGTGAATTTATAAAAGAATTGAATTTCTAAGAGATTCTGAATTTTGAAGAATTGAATTTTAAAATGTTGTTTGGTTGAAACATTTGAATTGTTATGCAAAATGATAAAAATGACCATTCTTTTCTTTATTATTTTTTATAAAATAATTGACTAAACTTCTTAAATAATTATAAAAAAAAGATATAAACACAATAAAAAAAATCCAAATTAAAAAAGTAATAACTAATCCTCCCTAATAAATAAAGAACTATTTTACCACATGACATGCTCTCCTTCAATTTGACAAATGTTAATTTGTGTTAATTTTGAATTAATTTTGTTTCCACATGTCATTTTATGGGTTTTCTTATTTTATTAAATTTCACATAATATTTTATTGTCATAATTACAATAAATATACCCTAATAAATAAGAATGATGTTGTCATATGTCATCTTCTAATGCATTATGTCACATGTTATTTTGTGGTAATTTTAGATTAAATTATATCCACATGTTATTTTGTGGTAATTTTATATTAAATTATATCCACATGTCATCTTGTGGTTTTTCATTTTATAAAATTCGATATGATATTTTAATATAATAAATATATAATAAAAGCATATTCAATTCAATAATGTAACTTTCCTTATAATTTATATACTTCTAAATTGAATCCAGTTGTTTTGATTGTTTATTTATTTAAATTATTTAATACTTCAATTTTAATAATTAAATATTTTTATAACATCAAATTTTCTAAACTTTTAGATTTTTGTAGTTATTATTTTTTTTTTTTGAATAAAGTCATCCATCAAATGGGTCTCACAACTAGTATAGTAAAAAATTGATATCAATTTCATTAATGCGCTTAACTTTTAATTTCAAAAATTTTAAATTAAAGTATATTAGTTTCATTTGTTTATTTACTTAAATTATTTGTTTAAATTTAAAAGATAAAAAACATTTACATTTTAATAAATCATTATATTTCTTATTTTCTTATAAATTCAAAGTTCTCAATTACTTAGCCTTTCATAGTTCACTTTTTCTTTATTAAATTAAGTCATGTAATACATGGATCTCACAACTAGTTCATAACATATCATAATCATAAACTTCTCTCCTAAGCATCTGCAAGTAAATTCCACAGCTAGAAAGGACAATGTCAAATAACTACTACATACTTTCATTTCATTTGCATTATGGTTGTAACGAGCCAAAAATAGCGTTAAATTTTCATTTTCAAAACACCCAAAATGATACAACTAAATCCAAATAACAATGAAGAATAAAAATCAAGGGGATGTTGCGCGATCACGCCGGACCCTTCCTTTTGGAACCAGAAGTACCTAAAATGTTTGAACCACAAAACCATAAGCACAAAGTTTAGTGAGTTCATCAAAATAAAACCTATCATACGTAACATTGTGGACCGTCCACATATTTGGCCCCACCCATCATAACGGGCCCTACATAGCATACAAACAGGTCCTGCCCAACATACAAACGGGCCTGCTCAACATATATGCAAGAGTCACAAAGACAACTAGCATCCTACACGGTATAGTGAGAAGACTCACCTCTCTAACAAAGTCATACAAATCCCAGCTCAACGTCATGAAAAAGGTGTTACAACCCACCTATCGAATTACACAAGGTCACACCTTAGTCTACACTTTACAACTAGCAATTTGACCAAAAATCAATAGGGTCAAAAAGTCAACGATCAAAGTTCTTAGACGAAATATACATTCTATATTTTTTGTATTTGATTTTACCCTTTACAAATTATATCCTTTCCTTATTTACAGGAATGGTTTTATATTTATAATTGATTATCTATAGTGAGAAGAATCATTAAGGAATACCATTTTTATGGTATTAGCGCCTTGCCCTAGCCCTAGTCGCCGTTGCCCTCTTCTTCTCCAACATCCTTCTCATCAAACATGGTAGCACCAGGTGAATCTTTTGATTCCAAAAAGACACCATTCCACCACACATTCACTGTCACTAACATTAAGAATAGTGTCCCTCTCATTATGAATCAAACCAATGATCAATATGCTTCATGTGTTGAACTATTTCAAATCCACGTGTGCTTACAATCTTCTTGATCACATTGATCTGAACACTCTGCAAACCGTATGCATCAATGAAGAAATATGGAATTGTCTTGATTCTATTGTTAAATCATGGATTTACAGAACCATATCCATTGATTTTCTCTGATTGATCATGAGACCCTACACAACCGCTCGTCAACTTTGGAATCGTCTTCAAGAAATTTTGCAAGACAATAGAATTACCAGGGTTGTTTATCTCGAAGAGCAGTTTAACAACACTCGCCTATTCGCATTCTCCAATGTGTCAAATTACTATGCTCGTCTAAAAAATCTTTCAGATCAGCTCGCCAATGTTAGAAACAAAGATGGTTCTCCAGCTAGTTTCTAACTAATTTTATAGAAGCTTATAAATTTCAATACTTGTAAAGGTCGAAATCAAATAGTAGAATATTTTCAAACTTTTAGATAAAACATTTTTTTATGATAAATCAACTACGAGTGAATATTAATAATAGACTTTGAAAGCCACATTATGATTATGAATTAAAGATAAGAGAAGCACATTAGTAAAATTATATAGGGAAAATATGAAATGTTAGATATATGTGTGAAGCGATGTGGGATAAGTAGAAAGAAATTGAAATTAATGTTGTAATAGATAAATTATTTACTAAAACAACATTGATTTGGATGGCCTCATTTATAAGATATATATAGATTGTAAGCACCTAATATTTTTCGATAGACTATGTACACAATATTTAAATATTATTTATATTACTCGCAACGCGTATGAAGGATTCTTAATTATTTACAATTATCCGATTTGGAGATTTAATTATTTGATAAATCGAACATTTTTAATCTATAATCCTTCGAATTTATATCCCCAATTTGCGAGAGTTACAGTCTATTTCATCAATAGTATTTGAACATTGATCTTCAGTCAATTTAGTGTCATGTTGCATATGTAGAAACCCTTTCTTGGAATCTTGAATTCTAAACTTCTTCAAGATCTTATCCAATATGTACTTTGGCTAAGTTCTATTAGATGTTTGAATCTATCTTTGTAGATTCTTATTCCAAGTATATATTTTGCATCCGCTAGGTCCTTCATACCAAAACATTTTCCAAGCCAAGTCTTCACATTTTGCAATGTTGAGACATCGTTTCCTATAAGTTGTATGTCATAAACATACAATACTAGCAAGACTAAAAAAAATCCCACTAGATTTAACATATGCACAAGACTCATCTTCACTTATAGAAAATCAAAATTCCTTGACTTCTTCATGAAAGAAGAGATTTCAGCTGCGAGATGCTTGTTTGAGTCCATAGATGGATCCATTAAGCTTACACACTCTATTTGGATATTTAGGATCTATGAAACCCTTCGGCTGTGCCGTGTACGAATCATATGTGAGTTTTCTATTAAGGAAAACCTTTTTCACGTCCATTTTCCATACTTCATAATCATAAAAAGCAATTATGCCAGGTAATATCCTAATAGAATTGATCTTAGCTATTGGTGAGAATGTTTCCTCATTATTATCCCTTGATTTTGAGTATAACCCTTTGAGACCAGTCTAGCCTTGAATGTGTGATTATTCCCATCCATATCGCATTTCTTCTTGAGTATCCACTTATAACCAACAGTTTTAAGGCCAAGTGTAGGATCAATCAAATTCCAAATTGTATTATTGTACATGGACCGAATCTTGCTCTTTATGCTCTCTTTCAATTTGGCAGCCACTAGGCCTACCATCATTTCCTTATATTTAGATGGCTCATCTATACTAATTAGGTACTCATCATTAGTCTGCACAAATCCTATTACAATAATATGGAACCATAAAACTAAGGAGGAAGACGAACTATACTAGATATGCGAAGTAGAGGTTAAGATACCTTAGTTTCCTTAATAGGTGCATTGAGCTTTGGTTGACTCATAACCCTTTGAGACCAGTCTAGCCTTGAATGTGTGATTATTCCCATCCATATCGCATTTCTTCTTGAGTATCCACTTATAACCAACAGTTTTAAGGCCAAGTGTAGGATCAATCAAATTCCAAATTGTATTATTGTACATGGACCGAATCTTGCTCTTTATGCTCTCTTTCAATTTGGCAGCCACTAGGCCTACCATCATTTCCTTATATTTAGATGGCTCATCTATACTAATTAGGTACTCATCATTAGTCTGCACAAATCCTATTACAATAATATGGAACCATAAAACTAAGGAGGAAGACGAACTATACTAGATATGCGAAGTAGAGGTTGAGATACCTTAGTTTCCTTAATAGGTGCATTGAGCTTTGGTTGACTCTTAGTTTGAAATTTTAGTTCTTCTTTATTTGACTCTTAAATATCTTCAAGATCAATTGGAATCCTATTGGATTCTTTGAATGTGAGCTCCCTCTCGAGGAAGAAGCCCCTTTGTGCCAAAAACACTTTATTCTCAAAAGGCTTGTAGAACAGGTATCCAAAAGAATTTTAGGGATAACCAATAAAGTAACACTTCTCTAATCTGGGTTTCAATTTTATTGTTGGTCTCGCGACGAAGAAAAACTTCGCACCCCTAAACTTTCACATGTGCTGGCGGAGGACGTTTCTCGCTCCACGTCTCAAAGGGTGTCTAAGAAACCTTTGTAGTTGTTATGAGGTTTAAGATGTGGGTTGTTTACTCTAGGGCGTAACCCAACAAACTTATCAAAAGGGTAGCTTGAATCATCATAGATAGAACCATACCTAATATCATTTGATTTCTTCTCTCATCAACGCCATTAAGCTATGACGTTATGGGAGAAGATAATTGTGAAACTATTCCATAATTCTTTAAATGATCATAGAATTTAATACTTAGATATTCCCCACTCCTATGAGATCAGAGCATCTTCGTCTTCTTGCCCAATTGATTTTGTA